TTTATCATTTTGATTCACGCTTCATGATGTTACGACTCGTGACGAGCACAAGGCGCGTTGTCACGTGAACGCTGCAGGAAGAAAGTCAAGAAGCGCCACAACATGTGTGAGTCAAAGTTCCAGAGGAGTTCGACCCGAAAAGCGAAATGCTATCACACTCGACTTCCAAGACTCGATTCTTGATTGCGCATACATGCCTCAGACCTTCACTCGGTGGAGCCCCTTCTGCCTAAGAACGCGACGAGAGACCGCTGCGGTGCCAGAATGGTATCTCCTTCAAGCAGCGCGTCTATAGCGCATTCCGACTCGTCCCAAGCAGTGAGCTCCTGCAAGCGGAGGTCGCGCCTGATTCAAGCGGGAGATCTGGTCATCGTTCACTTGGTGAGTCACACCAGTGCTTTGGTGCACCTGGCATCCGTGCATTTTCCGTTGTCCCGCTCAACCTATTGCGCTGCTGCCCATTCCTTCATTCGCCCTGCCTAGTCTCGAGACAAGACGCCCGTGCCGCTCTGTGTGACACCTGGAAGAGAGCTGAACAATGCTTGGGGTAGATTCCCTCACTCAGACATGGTCGGCAGACCTTTCGGTAGTCGCGTGAGTACCGCATATCGGTACGACATCGTCAAAGCTTCCGCATGGTATGATCAAAGCTCAAACGGTTTCGACGCCCTCCTTCGCAGGTGTACTCCACCAGCAACCGCAAGGGGCATGTATTCCTGCTAGCTCCAACTCCAGAGCTCTGGACCACTGCTCTACCTCATCGGACTCAAATTCTCTATGCTCCAGATATGTCCTTCATCACTTCTCGGTTAGCCCTCATGCCTGGCTCTCGTATCGTGGAAGCAGGAACGGGTAGCGGATCCTTTACCCATTTCTTAGCAAGAACAGTCAGTAGAAGGGCTCAGTGGGGGGCTAGAGGTGCATGGGGAGCACAGGGATCAGAAGGGACAGAAGCGCGCGGACAGAGCAGCGGAGGGCTGAGAGAGGAAGGCGAAGGCGCGGGAAGCACAGTGGTCAGCAAGGATCCAGACGCATGCGTGCCCGATGGCTTCGGCAGGGTCTGGAGC